ACTTCCCATGGCGAGTTCACTCCTTCCGCGGAAGTCGCGCCGAAGTCGCGCGCGCGGCGCTCGGGCCACCCCGGCGCGAGTTCTGCGCCGAGGGAATCTTTGTGTGTCCTGCCTGGGATGGCCCCAATTTGTCTGCTAGCGACACGATGATGTATCGCGTTAACAGCCGTGTGCTTCCAGGGTGATGATCGCGAATTTGTCGCGGAGTCTCCAGCCCAGATGTGATCCATTCCGCAACTGTCCGGGAGCTCTGCGCTGCGCATCGTCGTCGTTACAATTTGTTGTACCAAAACAGTCGGGCTAAGTCTCACACTAATCCTATCACATTTTGTTTGTGTTTTTCATTTTTCCTCATTTTTCCTAGAAATTTCTTGTATTTTTCAATTATTTTAGGAATTCTAAGATTTTGATGCTGTATATTAAAGCGGCCCCTAATTAGGTTAGGTGTTCACTCAAATCTCGTTGCAAAAGATACACTAAAAAGCGAGAAAATTGCTGCAAAAGGTAGAAGCGTTCTAGGTAGCCCCGCCCATCAACGTGGGTGGTCCGATAATGAACTCGAAAGCGGGTTTTGAGGTAGATAGAAATGTTGGAATTATGTTGATCTCAAGATTTGTGACAACTCCACGTACATGCAATTCCGATTTTGAACTTCTAATTTTCAGACCACCCAGGTTGATGGGCGGAGCTACCTAGACCGCTTCTACCTTCTGAAGCGTTTTTCTCGCTTCGGAATTCATCTTCCGTCCCGGGACTTGGGCAATCACTTAGTTAGGGGCATCGCTATCATACTATGTCAACTTACCTCAATATTGGGTGCGCGTGCTTCTAATTCCCCAAAAATTACAAGATTCGGTAGTTAGTTTATAGAATCGCATCATCTCCATATACATTGCTGTTGATGTTTGTAGGGCGAATCATACAAAACCGGAGGGAAGTGGGGAGAGAGAGAGAGCAGATCATCGATGCGTGCCGCCTAATTCGAATAGGCAGAAGAAGGCGAGATCGCGTTCGATAACATTGTCGAATAACATTTGTACAGCTACAAATAACTGCTGCTGACGTTCAGTTTTAGCAAAAGCGAAGCAGCGCGATTGTGAAAAGAGCTGGGCCAGCGATAAGCGAAAAAAAACTTCGCTAGGCTCGGTGTCATTAGCTTTTGATTTACGGATTGAGAGCATCACTAAAGTCTTGCAGATGGTATCACGTTGGATGTTGAAAAATTGGTAAGATTCGGACGAGTTTACGCAGAGCTTTCCTTAACCTTTCCAGAATTGGATTTATACGGTTGGCACATCGCTTGAAAAATTCCATGTAAATAAGTCCCATTCTGCAAGGAATAATATGCAGTGAAACTGTTTTCAAAACTCTTCCAGATAAATCCATCCTTGATAGTTGTGACATGAGTTTTTGCTGGGTAAAGTCAAGAAATATCTTTGAAAACAAAATTTTTGCCCTGTATTAGCCTTTCATTTCTTTTTATTCTACTCATTTCCCTAACCCCAGTGCGAGTCATCTCATTCAAGTCATTCTCTAATAGATTTTTCCAAACGTTTTTCTATTTAGAAGCATAAAGACTGGGGTGGGGGGGGGGGGGGAGTGGCCAAGTTTGGAGCTTGTTAAATAAAAATATATGTGAAAAGAATATTTGAGCTTAATTTTGCAGTTGAACATTTACTTTTTGAAAAAAAAAGTTGCTACTTTATGAATAATGCATTTTGTCTTATTTATATAAATTTTGCTATTGAAAAAAAGAGACTTTCAACGCAATTTTTATCATTTTCAATCAATTATACCATTTATTGTACCCCAATGGTTAGGACTGTGTAGCATTTTGTATATCTGACCAACATTTTTCCCACACAGTTTATAATTTTTCTCTTCAAAAGTGAGAATTTTTAGTTTCAAAATGAAAAATTTCCAAGTTCTACGACCATGTCCACTAACTCTTTTTGGCCTAATCAAGTGAAAACTGTCAAATAAATGGCAAAGCAATTCCTTGTATCATTTGCGCGATATAGAAAACTTGTTACTTTCACAACTCTATTCATTTTCTCTCATTCAGCCTTTTTCCTAAAGTAATAACTATAACTGACAGTTCCCTGAAATCTAATCCATCCTGCATCTGTCACAGTACAACTTGGCAATTCCTCTAATCCACACAATTTTTTTAGTCGGAGAGTCTGTTTCTTCTCACAGCTCAACTCGTAGAAACGTCGTCCCTCATCGTGTTTCTTCGCTCGGGTTATACAAATGTTTAGCTGCGACAACTGTTCTCGGCTGACAGAGAGATATCATGGCGATTTCAAGACAAATGTGAGAGCAAGGATACGGTAGTTGTGTGTGTGTTTAGTTGTGATTGTCTGGAGCTAATGTGATTAGTTCAGCCGACAGAGTGGATCAGTGAGCAGGTGAGGTTGAATTATTTGATTAATTTTGATGTTTTGATAGGTTTTTGATAGTGTAACTAAGTCCCCAAGGGCTAAAGGTAACTGTAGTGGTAATGATAAGACTTGGGTAAGCCCTGATCTACCCAAGGTATACGGTAGGTGAACAAAGCGCAGTGAGTTAGCCGAAGTTCGTCGGGCGCCTACAGCAGCGATCGGCCGTCGTGTCGAATCAATTTGCCGAGCCGCAGGGGCGTGCCCGACCAATCACCGGCCGCGGCCACACCCACCCGGTTTGTGTATGTGTGGTGTCTGGGGTGTGTTTCTATTAGGTTCTAGAGATACCCCGAGCCAGGAAAACATTTACTTAGGCTCTGATGGGCCCCCAGAGGCTGATTTAAGGCCCCTAATCCCTTCCGGGAGCTGTTTCCACCTAGCAGCCGGGGAATTTCCCCTGCTTTCTCTCATTCATTTTGCACAATTGCTTTTCTAATCGTTCGTGTTCGCGTCCGTCTCAACTTTGCTCGACTCGACAGCAGCTTTCTCATTTCTTCACTTTTTCTTATCAGCTTTCCGAACAGCTACTGTTCGGCATAAGAAGTATATAGCTGTCATCATTGTTTTCTTAGCGTGTCTTTCTCTTCTCAATTTTTTACAATCCCAAGAGAAAGCATAGCAAAGATAACGTGCCTGTTGTTCAAGTGCTTCTGGATCCTTGTTCAACTTTTCTAATCACTTGTCAGACTTTTCATTTTTGAATCAACTCTCGGCTCTGGGATTCTGTAAGTGTTGTTTGTTTATCTTTTGATAATGAAGTACAGCGACAAGTGAAGCAAACTTTAGTTTGGACCTTTAAACATGCGAAATATTGCAAAATCCAACTAGCTTAAAAGCTCAAAATTGTTCATTCTGCCATATTTGCCATAATCCACGTTTTTGATAATGCTCGGTAGCATGGCTTACAAGCAGTGTAGCTCAAATCCAGAATACTTCTATTCCGTTAGTTCATAGTAATGAAAATCGCTTCTTCATCTTGATTTGAATAATCGTTTCTGAAGGAGTTTGGTCATTTCCTTAGCTTTGAGTTTAATAATAAAGTTCAATAATAATACCTCCGACTTCATTAAACTTTCTGAACCTTATCATATCTGCTTAAGTTAGTACAATCCAATTCCCTTTGTTTAGTTAGAAATCTAAGTATAAGGAGTCGTTCAATAATATTTTACACATTCCAATTCAATTTTGAAAACGTACTTAATGATTAATATCCAACAAATATCACGTATTACGAATGGATCTGGTCCCTTTCTTCCCACTCAGGGGTTTTGGAAAGACTAGGATCCAAAAAGGAAATTTTTATTCTTGGAGCACGAACGAGATTCGAATCACAAAGGTTATTTCCAGGTGATTTCAGACGCGTCTGCTCGGTTATCATATAATTTCATTCGAAAAATTCCTCGTGGTAGAGTAGGAGGCAAATGAATATTCAAGGCTTTTTCAATAATTTTTAGAGGCTTCAGAAATTTAGAGGGGCTCAAATATCACCTTGCATGTTTCTGTTAATGTAGAAAAAGCACTTTTTATACGCAAGAAATTTCCCAAGTTTTCAAAACCAGAAAGTTTCATAAACGTTGCTGGACCAAGTTTGTGAAAAAAAGGAGTTTTCTGGTTCACAATTTTTCAGTATTCCAAACAGTCATCGTCTCCTTCCCCCTCTCTCCTTTTCCTCCCCTCCCCCGTTTAGGCTGAAAAGATGGTCCGTAGAGCATAGTGCCCGAAGTTGTTGAACGCATTTACGACGTTTTACAACGTGTGCTGTCATATTTTATCAGCTCCAACCAACACACTGCGAGACGCACAGTAGCTGAGGCGGCTTGGTTTGCGATGCTAAATAAACGATAGCTCGGCTTGCTAGGGCTGCTATCAGCACAATCAGCAGCAGCACTTGGTCTTCACAATGTACTCTCTCTTCCACTCCCTTTAGAATAACATTTGTGCAGTGTTTATTTGTACCTGGCTGACTAAGGACGGGGATGGGCGCGGGGCAAATTTCCTAGCGTTATTTCTTTGTAGATTCCTAGCTAAGCGGCCCTTTTGCACTTTTTTTAACCGTCTGTAACTCTAAGGAAGTACGAGTTGCAACCGGAGATTCAAAATAAACAGCGCATCGCCTAGACAAAGATTCGATTTCACATACACCCAGCTGTCGATGTTTTGAGACGAGTTGTACGCTCGAACAAACTCGTCGACGACCGAGTATTAGTCGAGTTGTGACACATCAATCGCCGCTTCTTTTCTTACCCCTCCTCCCTCCGAGGAAATTACTGTACTCAGCCCCAACCTGGGGCCTCTGTCAAAGTGTCCGAGCGTATAGGGGTCCCGCTTTGAAACCTTCCGATATGTCTACCGTGTCCAGTTCAACGGCGTTTCTTTCGTTCACGGCCATGCCGAGAATTTATTGTCTTAGAAAAACATGCTCGCTTTTTTCCGGCCTTTCATAATGTTTCCAGACCGTGAGCGCTTTGCACAATATCGTTCAATCTCAAATTCGCCTTTCATAGCTTCTAGAATAACGCCTGGTTCATTTCAGAATTCATGTCCACAACAGCGAAGATGCGATTTTCTATGGATTCGATTCTGGCTGCAGCTGAGGCGAAGACAAGGAAAAGATCGGCTGAAAATGATGATGATCGTGCACCAGAATCGGCTAAGAAATCCTGTTCGGATAGGGCCCATATCTCCCCTGTGAGCCGTGGAGAAAGGGCCACTACCGAGGTGTCGGTGGCACATTCGGACAGAAGAGAATTTTCCTCAAGATGTTCGGTCGAGAGTCCTGAACCATCTACCAGCTCTAGCCCAGAAGATCTTAGCTGCCGAGTGAGGAAGTGTAGCCCAGAAAGTTCTGAACACCCTTTATCTGAGAGGAATGAGGGCTGTTCCAAGGACGACGAACCAACATCCACTTCCGAAGATGTAGAAGAGAACCACCATCGAGAGCTGGAACCAGTCAGGTAGGTGCCAACCTGGTGCCACATAGGTGCCAACCTGGTGCCATACTCGTAACTTCTTTCCATTTGCAGTCCTTCCGGAATGTCATCACATCGTTCGAAATCTGGTGCTACAAAACCGGCCTATTCCTATATTGCACTTATCGCTATGGCAATTCTCAACGCTGAAGATAAAAAGCTCACATTGTCGCAAATCTGCGATTTCATCATGTCCAGGTTTCAATACTACAGGTTTGTTATTCCTAAACGGAAATGTCTTACTGTAATGGGTATATATAAATTATGTGCAGAGATCATGTTGGGCGTATTTGGTGTAATTACGGTGTAATGCCACAAACAATAAAATAATCCCCAAATAGCGCGTACACTGATTTTGTACGTAAATTTCTGGTTGATGTTTTTTTGAGTCAGCAATTTTTTTGCTAATTTGTACTTTTTTTATTAGTTCAAAATACCATGTTTGGGTGAAAATGCTCTATAGGATAATTTTGGATCATGATTATTATTGTAAAGATTACTGTAGCTTTGTTTAGAGACAAATTTCCCGCATGGCAAAACTCAATACGTCACAATCTGAGCCTCAATGATTGTTTCGTGAAAATCCCCCGTGAACCCGGAAACCCGGGCAAGGGCAACTACTGGTCCCTAGACCCCAAAGCTCAGGACATGTTCGACAATGGTTCATTCCTCCGAAGACGAAAAAGGTTGGTTGATCCAGCGTTATTTTTACATTTCAATACATATTTTTCTTTTTGGCTACAGTAATCCGAGCGCAAATGCGAACGAATTATTCGATTGTGTGTGTGCGTGTGTATTGTTCACTTAGTCACAATAATCCGCTTTGACAATCATCAGTTTTTTCTCGTACATTGGGTGAAGGGGAAGGAGGGGGGGGGGGGAGTTTTCGCAGACACACATACGGGGGGCTTTTGTTTTTGTTTGAGATGATATACTTGTAACTTGAGCCTCGAACCAACAGCAGCCCCTTACTGCTTATTTTTTTCTAGGTTCAAACGACAACCCGAGCAGAACGACATGGCACTCACGTATCCACCATTTCTTCCCCAATTGGGACCATTGCCTCCACGGCTACCCCTTCCAATGCCCCCAATCATCTCCCCACTTCCCTCAACTGTGGCCCCGATGCCTCCGGCCATGGCTCATCCCCCGATGCCCCTTTTGCCAACAATGATTCCCGCACCCCGAATGCCCTATTTCTACCCGGGTTTGGCCCCGAATATCGATCATCAGAAGCTTTTGGCAGCGATGGCAGCTCAGATTCCACCTACCTCGTCGCCTTCGGATTGTGTGGACACGCTGCACAAGGTTGATTGATTATCGATTGATTGGTTCCACATCACTCTGGGATTTTCTTCGTGCAATCGTGTGCAGAGAGAGTTCTTCGTTTATTCCATTTCACTGTGACGAGTATCTGTATTGATCTGATCTTTTTCATCTTCGAGCTTAGTGAATTCGTTATTTTGACCAGAATTTTGTGTCCACATCTCATTGTTGTACAGTATTTCCTTGGCAGGAGGGGGAGAGGGGGGGGGGGGAAGCGAAGCGTTTTCACTACTTTTCTCTTCTTGAAGATTTTAAAAAGTCCTGAGTTTCTAAGCCTCTAATGTTTTTGCGCTCACATTGGCCAAGTTTATCCTTGCCAGCTTCATTATTGGCCAATACACCTTAACAGGTTACGTAGCCGCTTTCCATTGGCCAATTTACAACTTGATTGGTCGGTGAATTGGCCAATCATGAAGCGGCTACGTTGCTAACCTGTTAAGTATGTCGCCTGCCTTAAAAATCAAAATGGGACGGAATTACGCAATTTTGCACAGAAGAAGCTCCCTCCTTCGCTTTGCCCCTCCCCTCCCCCCTACTCCTTTCCCTTACAAATTGTTCATTTTCTAAATTGTTTCTTTGACCATAAACCATGACCGTTGTTAAATGGTTTCACCGGTTTTGCTATGAATTGTTGTGCGTTTTAGGAGAGATTGTTCACTCCTAATGATTATCTCTCCTTTCCCATCAATGAACTGATTTAAAGGTCTTGTGTGCTTTACGCCCGGGAGTCGGTAACATCAAAAGACATAGCATGCTGATTATGTCAACAATACAACTCGGCTTCCTTGCCCCTTGCTGTGATTATCACCGGGCAGCGAGATGATAAGGAGATTAACCCTTGTATATGTCGGTTACTGTTAGAAGGAGCCGTTTTGCTATCAACACACCCGACGCCTCGAAGATTCTTTTCCGTCCGGGATCGTACCTATCTCTTTTCTTGAGTGGGCACTTTAGGCTTCTTACGGCCCTTTCTCAGGCCAAGTGGCATTGTCTATATCGTGTTTACCAGTGTTAGTAGCACCCACTAGTATCAGTCGCTTAATCGCACTCTTTTGCGCCATCGCAACAGTACTTGTGAATGGCGCAATGGGCCCTATAATTACGAGTACGATGAGCCGCTCATCGCTTCGCGCTTACGGTAGCGCGATCATCGCAGGTAACTGCGATCAGAATGCCGGCTCTTTATTAAATCATTGTAGGGAGGCGGAAACTTGTGCAAATTTTCGTAAATCTGTTTCAGTTATGTGTCAGGTAGAATGTAACTCAGCAATTTTTATAACACTCAAAAAATTCGGGAATTTTCACTTTCAATTTTCTAGAAAAATCGGAGCGCATTAGGTTTCTCTCTTTCTTTGTTTTTGAGCTCCCAGTGCGAAATTTTTTGAATTTTTTTTGCGATTTTCTACTACAACTAATAAAGCTGTTTACGAAATGATTCGCTAAAAAAATCCATTTACAGTCCCCTTCCAATTTTTTGAAAAAACCCATCGCCTGTAGAAACTCGTCTTTTTTTTCACTAGTCAACTGACACAAGTTCTTTGCTTCGAAAAAAATCTACAGAAGTTTTCAAAAAACACCGGAAATTTTTCACATTTTTGAATTTTGAAAATCTACAAGAAATCTTAGCTCACAATTTTTTTTCTCTTTCTCTGTTTCTTAGCCCGTGTTTTTCCAACAAAACAATCAATGAGCAAGTTCAGTTAGTTGATAATATTATTAATTTGCTATTCAATCCCATTGTTCCCGAAAATCTAGCAAAAGTTACATCTATTTAATGATTTTTTGAACCTACCACCTGTAGTCTTTCTCCATTTTCTTTCTCTCGGCAACTAATGCAAATTTCCTAATTTAATAATTATCTACTAATTTTTCTTTCGTCCAACGATAGCATCGAGAATTTTGTTGTGACAGCTGTGTGCTTTCACCGGCCCGCGATACTACACTTATTTATCGCTAGGAGTTCTTCCAATCGTCGTCGGGGCATAGTAAGGATAATCAAAAAATTTCCAAGGTTTTATAATTATTTCCAGAACTTCTTCCGGTCAGAATTCAGGAGAGTATAGTGACACTTTACCTGAAAAATAGTCATAAAGCGTCAAAAACCAAAGTTGATCTATCTCGATGAGCTGATTACACTACAGGCTCTAAAAAAATGACAGATCTTCACTTTTCTCATTATTCTAGCAAAGACTTGATAAATTTGCTTGTGCCAGAACATTTATCATTTCTTGAGCCGTAATGACTGAGACTAAGTAAAAGGTGCAGCAATGATGGCATCTTCTGTCAACAATTTTTGCAAGACAAATCACCTCGGTCTGACTTTCAAAGGATTCCCGCCAAAGTTTTTCTTTACTAGAGTGAGATCTATAGGGTAATGTAAGATACTAAATGTGCCTTGAACATACAAATATTTATTTGGCAATCGATATTTTACAATATGTGGCACCCAAGTGGATCCGTGCCTTGCAACAATGATATTTTGCCCTATTCCTCTAAAATGATCAGTCGAGTAGATTATGCTGAGAAACTGTCAGTTTATTAGTTTTGATTGTGAAGTTCATTGTGAGAATAGCGCAATATCATAAAATCAGCTATCACCAGAAATCTCAAAGGTAGCCATTAGCCAACTAACCAAAATTTGTAAGAAACTTGTTAGCAACTGTGAATTTGAATCAAGCCTTCATGTCGATGAAGTACATCTAATTTGCCTAAAGTTGAGTAATCTTAGACGAACTATTGGATCCAATCGATATCTATTCTTTCAATGATCAGATTAAATGCATCCTGACCTCCATCAGGGATTCGCTTAGAAATAGCCAACAGGTCTTGAATGACTACTTTTTACAAATTTCATATAAATATTAGATGATTTCAAATAATCTTCAACCCTTTCTTTGTTAGAAAGATTAAATGCTCAATTGCACTTTTGTTAGCTTCTCCTCTGAACTTCATCAAACTCTAATTGGCACTTCATGCTAGACGATAGATCTTATCTCCGAAACTTAAAGATGGTGCCTTTGTGCAATACCGTACAAAATGGGAAAGTGATAGCTTCGTTCTCAAATGACTGCGTATTGTTGAGGCTGATTTATTCACTTGCCTTTTTTCAAATTTTGATCTCCCGTAGAAAAGGTTTTACTGACGCTTTATTGGTGAAGAGTCGTCAGGTACTGAGCGAAGTGTGCAGTCTCACAAATCAAGTAACAAATGGCTTCAATACAATTTGTTGTATCAAATATATATGAAACCTTTTTGTCAGCTAAGCTTCGTTTACCTGGTTCTGTTATATTTGTGAAATCAGCAATGTTACAAAGAACCACTTGACCTTTTCATTGCAACTCCGCCTAATTGTCGCCTTGCGACTACGGTATCTGTGAAATTGTGCGACGATGAGTAAACACTTCTTATACAGTGAAGGTGTATGCGTGTCGACGCAAACATTTAGACAACGGTCGTATCGGCCGAGCGCATCATAATTTGATTAAATCGAGTGATTATATCAGCTGCTTAACGGAGCGGAAGGAGCGCGGCAAAAGATACCTTCGGCGAAACCTGGCCCGACCTTTGTGGAAGATAGGGGGGGAGGGGGGATGCGGAAGGTGTGCTGCCATTGAGGGCAAAAAATTTGATCAAGGGAGTGATACATTATAGGTAGGATATGTACGAAAAAGTATGCGACTTGAAACTCCGCCCATTCCACGCCATGTCGCCATATCGTGTCAAGACCTGTACTGACCAATCCCAGCCTCTGTTTTTTCGCCAAAAACGCTGGACGCGGATTTCAAGAGTAAATTTCGAACTTTCGCCCTTTCTGCCATTCCGACCAGCTGCATCTGAACTAGTGCTCGTCGATAGCGATCTAGCGAGGCTCGATGCCACCCCGATGAAAGGTTCGGGCAGTCTGTACGCAGCGTCAATTTGATGTATGGCTCGGCTGAGTGCAGCAGTCATCTGAAAAGAGCGCTTGGCGACCTGTCAGCCGACAAAAAAATGGCTCCCCCTCCGCCCCCTCCAAATAGCGACTATGCTGCATGTGAATTCTACACTCTAAAAACACAAATTCAATCTATCATCTCATCGATCACCGTACGAGGGTGACCCACTCCCCCCCCCCACACCGTCACATTCGGCCTCACAGTTGATGGCTTAAACAGACAAATTCTAAGTACACTGTTTTCTTGTACTTTTGATATCCGGTGATTGACTTGTGTTTGTGTAGAAACACTTTTACCGAATCTATCCTAAAATTAGTAACAAATAAACTTTACGACATTTTAAAGCTTCAGTACATCTTCTGCTAATCAGCGACCTGTTATTTAGTGTAATAAGAACACTTTAGAGAACAAAGTTTAGTTCTCGCGCTGGAAAATTTCAAACCGTAGAAAAGAACTGAACCGTTTGTTCCTCCAAGCGAAGTTATTGATTACTTAGGAGAATGATACCCATTACTTACTCTTTGATGAGCTAATTATCTGTCATCTGTTGAGGAAATCGTTCTCCACCTTAAGGCCTTAAGCTAATTTTTCTAAGCGCTAAATGTGCTCATGGTTTATGTCAGTCCTGCAAAAGCATACAATTTTCTGAATTTTTTAGCATATTCGTATTGTAAAATTTCATATTGAAGAGTATCAGCTGAAACATGAATATGTTTTTGAGATAAGACACCTTTCAAAAGCATTAGAAAAGATCACTTATTTAATATCCTCAATAGAAATCCGAAATCCTTCCATGGAACCGTTGTTTAGTTAAATCTCTTCTAAACGCTGGACGAAAAAAAGGGAGGGGGGAGGGGAGACGGCAGCATATTTAGGAAAGAGAAGGAGGACATAGATTAAATAGTGGGCTGTTTAACAAAAAAAAGGAATAAACCAGCTAGAATTTTTTGTTTCTTTGGTTAGTTCCTTTTATGAAAATGTTCATGCGTAAAATCTTTTTGTCGAATACGCCACTGCCTTGGAGAAAAAGTGGAACTGTGTGAAAGTGTTACATAT